TTCCTGAATAGATGTGCTTGTTTTGAGATCAAAGCGAGAGTTGCATGTAGCCACGTGTGCACATTTGTTCATATCCTTTGCTAGTTAGTGAGTTATTATCCCAGTTATAGATCATTTGTAGTCAGCAATGGGAGAGTGATTGCTTCCTACAAGAGCACAAAACGTGTATATTTCTAGACATCTTTGAAAAGCGAGTTGAATAAAGAGGGTTTTTTATGTCTTAAGGGGCAGTGTTGTATTTTGAGACAGGCTTGAGTAAGCTAAGTAGCCAATAGGCAGTAGCATAATTTGTCTGATTCTCTGTAATAATGGTCTGGGAATAATGCATTTTATTTTGTAAAGTGGTTTCTTGTATCAAACAAAACAACAACATTTTCAGTCACCTTTTCTGAAGGACAAGTGGATAAACAGGTTAATGTCAACCCCTGCATGTTGTCTCATGGAATGTAGGCCTACATTGAACACCACACATTGGCTGCTACTGTAGGCTGAATGATAGAACAGCTATTTCCATGTTAAAATGTTATGAACTCATTTACTCCATTGATTTTCATGGTAGGCCACTCTGGTAGGCCTACATTATGATCAAATAACCACAGTAGCCTACTTGACCACTGTCTGAAATTGTAACTTAAAACGGGTACAGCCTCAGTGTTCACAGTTGCACAGAATTTTCACAACGTTCAAGTTTGCACTCAGCAGACCTGAAATTTGGTCAGTGAAGAAAAACATTAGAGGGAACATTGCCCCTCACCCTGCAATGTTGTGATGCAAAAATATTGGCAAAATGTATTGCTCATAGAATAAAAAAGGTCCTACCGGACATTATTCATCACGATAAGACGGGATTCTTAAAAGGAAGATACAGTTGAAGTTGGATGTTTACAACACCTTAGCCAAATACATTTGAACTCAGTTTTTCACAATTCCTGACATTTAATCCTAGTAAAAATTCCCTGTTTTAGGGGTCAGTTAGGATCACCACTTTATTTTAAGAATGTGGAATGTCAGAATAATAGTAGAGAGAATGATTTATTTCAGCTTTTATTTATTTCATCACATTCCCAGTGGGTCAGAAGTTTACATACAGTGGGGAAAAAAAGTATTTAGTCAGCCACCAATTGTGCAAGTTCACAATACCACTTAAAAAGATGAGAGAGGCCTGTAATTTTCATCATAGGTACACGTCAACTATGACAGACAAAATGAGAATTTTTTTCTCCAGAAAATCACATTGTAGTATTTTTTATGATTTTATTTGCAAATTATGGTGGAAAATAAGTATTTGGTCAGTAACAAAAGTTTCTCAATACTTTGTTATATACCCTTTGTTGGCAATGACACAGGTCAAACGTTTTCTGTAAGTCTTCACAAGGTTTTCACACACTGTTGCTGGTATTTTGGCCCATTCCTCCATGCAGACTTTCAACTCCCTCCAAAGATTTTCTATGGGGTTGAGATCTGGAGACTGGCTAGGCCACTCCAGGACCTTGAAATGCTTCTTACGAAGCCACTCCTTCGTTGCCCGGGCGGTGTGTTTGGGATCATTGTCATGCTGAAAGACCCAGCCACGTTTCATCTTCAATGCCCTTGCTGATGGAAGGAGGTTTTCACTCAAAATCTCACGATACATGGCCCCATTCATTCTTTCCTTTACACGGATCAGTCATCCTGGTCCCTTTGCAGAAAAACAGCCTCAAAGCATGATGTTTCCACCCCCATGCTTCACAGTAGGTATGGTGTTCTTTGGATGCAACTCAGCCTTCTTTGTCCTCCAAACACGACGAGTTGAGTTTTTACCAAAAAGTTATATTTTGGTTTCATCTGACCATATGACATTCTCCCAATCCTCTTCTGGATCATCCAAATGCACTCTAGCAAACTTCAGACGGGCCTGGACACGTCTGGCACTGCAGGATTTGAGTCCCTGGCGGCGTAGTGTGTTACTGATGGTAGGCTTTTTTTACTTTGGTCCCAGCTCTCTGCAGGTCATTCACTATGTCCCCCCGTGTGGTTCTGGGATTTTTGCTCACCGTTCTTGTGATCATTTTGACCCCACGGGGTGAGATCATGCGTGGAGCCCCAGATCGAGGGAGATTATCAGTGGTCTTGTATGTCTTCCATTTCCTAATAATTGCTCCCACAGTTGATTTCTTCAAACCAGCTGCTTACCTATTGCAGATTCAGTCTTCCCAGCCTGGTGCAGGTCTACAATTTTGTTTCTGGTGTCCTTTGACAGCTCTTTGGTCTTGGCCATAGTGGAGTTTGGAGTGTGACTGTTTGAGGTTGTGGACAGGTGTCTTTTATACTGATAACAAGTTCAAACAGGTGCCATTAATACAGGTAACGAGTGGAGGACAGAGGAGCCTCTTAAAGAAGAAGTTACAGGTCTGTGAGAGCCAGAAATATTGCTTGTTTGTAGGTGACCAAATACTTATTTTCCACCATAATTTGCAAATAAATTCATTAAAAATCCTACAATGTGATTTTCTGGAGAAAAAAATCTCCATTTGTCTGTCATAGTTGACGTGTACCTATGATGAAAATTACAGGCCTCTCTCATCTTTTTAAGTGGGAGAACTTGCACAATTGGTGGCTGACTAAATACTTTTTCCCCCCACTGTACACTCAATTAGTATTTGGTAGCATTACCTTTAAATTGTTTACCTTGTAGCCTTCCACAAGCTTCCCACAATAAGTTGGGTGAATTTTGGCCCATTCCTCCTGACAGAGCTGATGTAACTGAGTCAGGTTTGTAGGCCTCCTTGCTTGCACACACTTTTTCAGTTCTGCCCACAAATGTTCTATAGGATTGAGGTCAGGGCTTTGTGATGGCCACTCCAATACCTTGACTTTGTTGTCCTTAAGCCATTTTTCCACAACTTTGGAAGTATGCTTGGGGTCATTGTCCATTTGGAAGACCCATTTGTGACCAAGCTTTAACTTCCTGACTGATGTCTTGAGATGTTGCTTCAATATACCCACATAATTTTCCTTCCTCATGATGCCATCTATTTTGTGAAGTGCACCAGTCCCTCCTGCAGCAAAGCACCTCCACAGCATGATGCTGCCACCCCTGTGCTTCATGGTTGGGATGGTGTTCTTCGGCTTGCAAGCCACCCACTTTTCCTCCCTAACATAACGATGGTCATTATGGCCAAACAGTTCTATTTTTGTTTCATCAGACCAGAGGACATTTCTCAAAAAAGTACAATCTTTGTCCCCATGTGCAGTTGCAAACCGTAGTCTGGCTTTTTTATGGCGGTTTTGGAGCAGTGGTTTCTTCCTTGCTGAGCGGCCTTTCAGGTTATGTCGATATAGGACTTGTTTTACTGTGGATATAGATACTTTTGTACCTGTTTCCTCCAGCATCTTCACAAGGTCCTTTGCTGTTGTTCTGGGATTGATGTGCACTTCTCTTGGAGACAGAACGTGTCTCCTTCCTGAGCGGTATGACGCTTCATGGTGTTTATACTTTCGTACTATTATTTATACAGATGAACATGGTACCTTCAGGCGTTTGGAAATTGCTCCCAAGGATGAACCAGGTCTACCATTTTTTTCTGAGGTCTTGGCTGATTTCTTTTGATTTCCCCATGATGTCAAGCAAAGAGGCACTGAGTTTGAAGGTAGGCCTTGAAATACATCCACAGGTACACCTCCAATTGATTCAAATGATGTCAATTAGCCTATCAGAAGCTTCTAAAGCCATGACATCATTTTCTGGAATTTTCCAAGCTGTTTAAAGGCACAGTCAACTTAGTGTATGTAAAACTTCTGACCCACTGGAATTGTGATACAGTGAATTATAAGTGAAATAATCTGTCTGTAAACAATCGTTGGAAAAATTACTTGTGTCATGCACAAAGTAGATGTCCTAACAGACTTGCCAAAACTATAGTTTGTTAACAAGAAATTTGTGGAGTGATTGAAAAACGAGTTTTAATGACTCCAACCTAAGTGTATGTAAACTTCCGACTTCAACTGTATATTGGAGACATTAGACAACTACTAGAAATAATGGAATTCATGAGAATGCAGGAAAACCAGGAATAATCTTTATAGCGGATTTTGAGAAAGCATTTGATATAGTACATCTAGAATCTGTTAATAAGTGCCTGGATTTGTTCAACTTTGGAGAATCTCTCATAAAATGGGTAAAAGTAATGTACAACAATCCGTTATGTAAAATAATAACTAACGGTTACTTCTCGGAGCACTTTGAATTGTCAAGAGGCGTAAAACAAGGTTGCCCTCTGACACCATACCTATTTATTATGGTCATTGAATTGTTAGCTTTAAAATCTAATGACAACATTAAGGGCCTAAAAATGTAAGGGATTAGAGATAAAAGTATCAATGTACGCCGATGATTCCTCAATCTTCATCCTTGAGGACCTGGATATTTTAATTAATGATAGAATGTATTTGAAGAAAGACCAGTTTTTGGCATATGGCACAGAGTACAAGGAGTGGAATGTTAGCTAAAAAGACTGGTACCCAGGCTACATCTAAAACATTGCTGGAGCGAATGTATGTAGCTACACACCACAGAGGCAAAATAAGAAGCAACAGAGGCACATTTTATTAACATCACAATAAAACAATCCTACCAAACAGTCTTGTGTGGAAAACAACTCTTGAGAGAACTTATATAAAACACAGACCAGTTTCTGTACATTGCAATTGATAAAGTTGAATTGAAAAAGTTATTTATAGCCGTTTTCCTCCTCCCTCAGCTCCATCCCTCTCCACCAACTCTAACCCCCTCTCGCCTCCATTATTCTCACTCTCTGCCCAACACTTGTGCTGTCTTCTCTCTCATCAGTTGAGAGTGTGAAACCAAATATTGCCAGAACATATACTGCTCTGCTGCCCCAAACTCAGTGCCAATGAAATTAAACTCCTCTTGACAAAGCCATCAGGGATTTCAGCCATTCAGCATCTCTCTCTTCCCATTGCGTTTTCCCTCGCTCTCCTTCCAACCTCTCTCTCCGCCTCTATTTGAGGTCGATGAAGCGAATGTCCATGATGAGCAGTGTGTGTCTGGGGAGGGGTCTGGGGGCGGGCGAGAGCACGGTCATCACCTGTGCCTGTGTGTCCACGTTAGTCACCACAATGAACCCACACACCGGGCTCTCCAGCACACCCCTGCGCACCCCTCCAGCCCCCTCCTCCCCGTCATCGGCACAGCTTACACTCAGCACGTGGTGTGTGAGGTCGCGACCGGGGGTCACAGGGACTAGCTTCAGCTGGGTGTCGTCCTGCGACATCCCTAGAGGCAGGCATGAGTCCGGGATGGAAGGCGCTCCGATCTTGTAGATGCGCACATCAGAAAAGCGCACGTCGAAGGCGTGAGGGAAGAACGAGGCACTGCGGAAACCATAGAAGTACTCCCGGATCTTCTCGTCCCGAGCTTCACGCCGGCAGTCTTTGGAGCGCTCCACGACCCCTCCGGATTTGGGTAGCAGCACAACTCGGACAAAGTGCGGTAGGTCCCGCTTCAGCTCGTTGTAAAGCCTCTCCTGGTCCAGCACCAGAACCACATCCACCTCGAAGGCTGAGGCACAGTGGACCAGGGCCTGGTAGCCAGAACCCTTCACCCAGCCACAGGTGTTGATGATGCAGCCGCCCACACTGGCCTTCCTGTTCACCTCACAGCGCTGGGAGAACACGTCGGCCAGACACGACGTCAACTAGGAGGGAGAGAAAGTTGGAGAAAAATGGATGGGGAGAGAAAGGTAGAAATGATTACATACACCAGGCAAAAAGTCAACCACAAAGTTACAGGTTCATATAACCTCCATGGTTAGGGTATTAGATTATGGGTCTCATCGTTCACCTTGTTGTAGAGTTTGATGTTGGTTCCTGGAGTGGTGGAGCCAAAGTGGTAGACCAGTGGAGCCTGTACCGAGTACCCCTCCTCCACGTCAGCCGGACGCTCAATACACAGCGCTGACATTGTGCCCGGGACTGACACCTGACAGGAATGCATCACGGTCATCAACAGTACTAACCTTAGACACTGCCAGTCAACACAATCACTATATACAACTATCCTTATTTGCATAATGGCAGTGATAGTAGAGGGGAACAGTAGCAAAGAGGCAATATACTGCATCTACACCACCATCCAGACACAAAGGATGAATCTGCCTATATACTATTCTCTGTGCATAGTTGTTGGTGCTGATGTCATTGCTTTGTTGGTCTCACCCCACTCTGGCCCACATCCAGCTCCACCAGTGTGGGCCTCCTGCCCAGCCTGACAGCGTAGCTCAGCAACAGCCTGCACACCGTCGACTTCCCCACATCTGTAGGCCCCACCACCATTACCTGGGGGACAACGTTGAAGTAACTTTTACACAACAAGAGAGCTTACGATCAGTGTCTCTGACCAAGGTCCACTTCTCACACATACACACACTGACCCAAGTCCACTTCACTCAGACAAAAATAGACACACACACACACAGATGAACACTGACCCGTGGTCCCTTCTCGTTGTCTCTCTCCGCCTGTCGTCTCATCTGTTCCAGTGCAGTGTGTGCGTTCAGGTAGAGCAGCATGGGTGTGTCCTTTGATACGTACGCCACCTAGGAGAGAGATTGACACATTTCTGCATCTGTCACTCCTAGCAGTTACAGATAACAATAACAGATGCTTCAGCCAAACACATATCCCACTCCATTCATCTGTTACTCCTCTACAGCCTCTCACCTCTGTCTTCCCCGAGAGAGAAACACTACAGCCCTGCCAGGTGAACACAGCAATCTTGGACCCTGGTCCAAACGTGTACTTCTTGTTGCGGTTGAGCTCAGAGCCAAAGACCTCCGCCAATCCTGTGAGCAGCTCCAGCTGCACCTTCTCCCCAGCCTCCACCTCGAACCGCAGCTCGGTCTCCTTCTCGAGGTCAAACCTCGTCCCCCCGCCACCAACGCCAGCCCCAGCCCCCACTCCCTCCTCACCAGTCTTCTCTGGGCCCTCAGTCGTCATAGCTGTACAGAGACAAAGGTCCGATTTAGCCTGAACAACATTTAATACCTCACAAACATGTCTGTTTCATCTCTGCCATGTGATAAGTTCACTCTGGATAGGATTGATGTGACTGATTATTAGATGCTGCAATGTCAGATTTCAGTGGTGGTCTCTCATAAATTATGACACAGGCCATGAACATCCCTGGAATTACCTATGATAGGACAAGCATAGGCATAGTGCTTTACTTACAAATACAATACATTACCAAATGTATATGACACCCGCTCGTCAAACATCTCATTCCAAAATCATAATATGGAGTTGGTCCCTCCTTTGCTGCTACAAGAGCCTCCACTCTTCTGGGAAGGCTTTCCACTAGATGTTGGAACATTGCTGCGGTGACTTGCTTCCATTCAGCCACAAGACCATTAGTGAGGTCGTGCAATAATGTTGGGCGATTAGACCTGGCTCGCAGTCGGCGTTCCAATTCATCCCAAAGGTGTTCGATGGGGTTGAGGTCAGGGCTCTGTGCAGGCCAGTCAAGTCCTTCCACACCAATCTTGACAAACTATTTATGTACGGACCTCGCTTTGTGCACGGGGGCATTGTCATGCTGAAACAGGAAAGGGCCTTCCCTAAACTCTTGCCACAAAGTTGGAAGCACAGAATAGTCTAGAATGTCATTGTATGCTGTAGCGTTAAGATCTCTCTTTACTGGAACTAAGGGGCCTAGCCCGAACCATGAAAAACAGCCCCAGACCATTATTCCTCCTCCACCAAACTTTACAGTTGGCACTAAGCATTCGGGCAGGTAGCGTTCTCCTGGCATCCGCCAAACCCAGAATTGTCCGTTGACTGCCAGATGGTGAAGCGTGATTCATCACTCCAGAGAACGCGTTTCCACTGCTCCAGAGTTCAATGGCGGTGAGCTTTACACCATTCCAGCCGAAGCTTGGCATTGCGCATGGTGATTTTAGGCTCGTGTGCGGTTGCTCGGCAATGAAAAACCCATTTCATGACGCTCCCGATGAACAGTTTTTGCACTGACGTTGCTTCCAAAGGCAGTTTGGAACTTGGTAGTGAGTGTTGCAACCCGAGGACAGACGATGCTATGCACGTCAGCACTCGCCGGTCCCGTTCTGTGAGCTTGTGTGGCCTACCACTTCGCAGCTGAGCCGTTATTGCTCCTAGACGTTTCCACTTCAAATTAACAGAGCTTACAGTTGACCAGGGCAGCTCTCACAGGGCAGAAGTTTGACGAACTGACTTGTTGGAAAGGTGGCATCCTATGATGGTGCCACGTTGAAAGTCACGGAGCTCTTTAGTAAGGCCATTCTACTGCCAAAGTTTGTCTATGGAGATTACATGGCTGTGTGCTTACTTTTATACACCTGTCAGCAAAGGGTGTGGCTGAAATAGCCGAATCCACTAATTTGAAGGGGTGTCCACATACTTTTGTATATATAATGTAGAAGGCTCTGGTATAGGCCATGGCTGAAGGGCACCGTGCCAATCCAATCATTATCCAGCACTTACCATACATGTTGAGAAGCTACAAATCAAATCGTATTTGTCACATACACGTGTTTAGCAGATGTTATAGCGGGTGTAGCGAAATGCTTGTGCTTCTAGCTCCGACAGTGCAGTAACATCTAACAATTACACAACATATACCCAATACACATCAAAAAGTAAGGAATGGGATTTAAGAATATATACACATATATGGGCAAGCAATGACAGAGCAGCATGGACTAAGATACAGAAGAATATTATAGAATAGAATGCAGTATATACATATGAGATGAGTAGTGCAAGATATGACTATTAAAGTGACTGGTGTTCCATTTCTCAAATGCGTTGATCAAGAGGGTTGTTTCTTTCTACCTTTGTATATTAAGAACTTGAAACGGCTAACGTTAAGTACAAACTCTAATATCATGTGAAAAGTAAACAATACTCGCGTGCTCGGAGCTAAATAGCAGCAGCTAAATTAGCTAGCTAATTTTAGCATGTAGACTAGCTATCTGACTGAATGCCTGGTTAGAATGGTACCAGTGATAACCTGTTGAATGCAAATAACTGATCATTATTTAGATATTCGTTTATGTGACCGCCATACTACATTTGTTACTTACTTAGAAGTAGGGACGTTATAGATCGTCCTAAATAAGTGTTCAAACCTTCCACCACCACGACAGACGATTGCCACTAGTCCCACAAAGATGACGTCATGTTTCTTAGAACCAATCAGCGTTTGCGATTGTGTAGTTCGTTCATAAAATCGAAAATATTGGTAAAATTTCAACAAAGTATGAAATCAGGTTGATTTAAAATGTAGTGCATTTCTTTTTGACAGGCACAAAAGCCTATTCACACAGAAGAAGAGTATAGTAACAAATACGTTTAATTATCCAAACAGACATTTATCATAGGAAATTGACCAGTGAATACTCAGCAATAGCAAATATATTGTTATCCAGTGTTTCCCAAACTGTGAAATAGTAAACCCCAAGGTTTAAACAAACCAGCGCAATGCGTGTGTATCAAGCCACTTTTAGTCAAGGTGTGGTCATTATTATGGACAGATATTATTTTTGAAGGTGATACTCAGGGAGTATCCTGACAGTATACTGAAAATATTTTGTGAACCACTGTTGTACATTTGTTGCACTTCAGAGAGATACCACTAGATGTCCCCGTGTATCCAGGCCAGAGGAGCTTGACGCTTGGGTCATCAGAGGAAGGACTGGGGTGCAACCCGTTGGTCAGTCCTCATCATTCTGCGTCCAGCTTCCAAACCCTAGAGGAACATCTGGAAACCACACAAATAAATAAAGGAGAAACTAAGCGACTATCGTTTACAAAAAATCGTTTTGGATCGGTGGTCATACTCATAATAGTTGAGTTAGGTAAAGCCATTAAGTATCGGGGCTCAGTCCAAAATACAGACCTTCACTGGGTCACTATTCATTTTTCAGTGCCTCCTCCAGGGCTGCAACCACAATGGCAGGCTCAGGGAACTTCAGCCTGGCAGGTGGGCCTAACTTTATGCCCGTCCAGAGGCACACCTCTACAGGAAGGAAAGAAGAATGGTTAGTACAAGATAAAGGACAGCTTCTGGGTGCCTCCGTGTCATGCCAAAGATAAATAATATGCTCCGTATTCCCGGGGACCTAGTCTGTACTTTCAATGACAATTCTGTGTCCAGGAAACAGACCCCATGAGAATAGAATCTTTCATAACATGACCTGGAGGTACTCACCTTTCCCTCCCTTCACAAGTGTGACCTCCAGGCTTTTCTTGCGGGGTTTCTGGGGGTTCAGAACCACGATGAGGTCTGGGCGGGCAGCCAGGAGGGCATCTCGCACCCCCTCAGCACACCGCCGGTACACGTATCAGCTCTTACTGCAGAATGACAACAGTCACAACTCACTATTACAGGTTTTTATTTTCAGAGGCAATTTGTCTAAGACTTCTAAGTGGTCTGTTCCATTCCTGTATTCTGAGATTATCCAGATGGTACAGATAGAAAATAGGCTATTGTTTGGTGATGGGAATAAGGTTATGTGATTATGGAACTCTGACTCAATGCATTTACCTAAATTGATGTGCGTGGTCCTAAAAGTGGTAATATTCTTTAGAGGGTGGCTGTGGATATTACTGTACTCACCAGTGTTCAATGACCACCCTCTGGCCCTCTGAAGCAGTCTCCGTGTCCCCCTCCTCTCTTTTACCCCGCTTTCCCTCCATGACCACCGTCTCCTCCTCGGTCTCTGCCTTGTACGTCGCCTTTATGAAAGTACAAATATAGTACTTTTATAAAAGTATCACTCCACACATTTCATTAGGCTATTTACTTACTACTGGGTATCAGGAAAATCATCAAATGGAAAAGCTGTCGCCCTACCTGTTCTGGAACGAGGCGCCTTGTTGGTCTTAATTCAGCTTGCGTAACCTCAAACTTTCGCGCGCATGTTGCGCTTCTTTTGTAACTGACTATTCCAAAATTCAATCCAAGGGGTTTCACTTTATGCCCAACAAAAACCCATTTCTTGAAAAGGGGCGATCAACTTCAGATTTTCAGCGAATAAATATCCATTTACAGTGCATTCAGAAACTATTCAGACCTCCTTGACTTTTTCCACATTTTGTTACGTTACAGCCTTATTCTAAAATGGATTTCATTATTCCCCCCCTCCCTCATCAATCTACACACAATACCCCATAATGACAAAGCGAAAACAGGTTTTTAGAAATGTTAGCAAATGTATTTCAAATAAAAACATACATATTTTACTTACATAAGTATTCTGTTTTTGGAATTATGAGACTCGAAATTTAGCTCAGGTGCATCCTGTTTCCATTGATCATCCTTGAGCTGTTTCTACAAATTGATTGGAGTCCACCTGTGGTAAATTCAATTGAGTGGGCATGATTTGGAAAGGTATACACCTGTCTATATAAGGTCTCACAGTTGACAGTGCATGTCAGAGCAAAAACCAAGCCATGAGGTCGAAGGAATTGTCCGTAGAGCTCCGAGACAGGATTGTGTCGAGGCACACTACTATTTTAAGCCCGACACGTGTGATGGCACCTAGAGTGCATTCGGAAAGTATTCAGACCCCTTCACTTTTTCCACATTTTGTTATGTTTATGTTTTAGAATAAGGCTGTAACATAACAAAATGTGGAAAAAGTGAAGGGGTCTGAATACTTTCCGAATGCACTCTAGGTGCCATCACACGTGTAGGGCTTAAAATAGTAGTGCTAGAGAAAGACTGACAGGACATGCATCAAATAAATAATACAAATGTAGGGGTATATCTGGGAGATAGGGTTTACATTGGAATAAGAGAACATCCTAAATACAGAAGTGATAGAGGTGCAGGAGAAACGTTTGTCCTCTTTCTGCTGAATTTTGGGTTAACTTTAGTAAATATATCTCAGGAATAGCAGTTGTTAATCCCAAATTCACAGCCAGCCAGGCACTTGAAATGTGTCAGACTGAGTGCATGTGTTCCATAAGCCAAAATATTCCATGATGCCATACTTTGCCAAACCAAAACAACATGACACACTGAAGAAAATGTGTAGAAACAATTTGTATTCTTCATAGACAAATATAAAAGCAGTTGAAACATTTGAACGTAATTGAATAATACGAACAACCAGTGAACACAACTAATAGCAGCAATATTGTAAATAGTGAGAGACACTATTAGATGTCACCATGTACCCAGGCCAGAGGAGCTTGACGCTTGGGTCATCAGAGGAAGGACTGGGGAGCAACCACTTTGGTCAGTCCTCATCATTCTGCGTCCAGCTGCTACAAACCCTGGATGACTGGCTGCAAAGAACAAGAGGAATAATTCACTGTTTTAGCAAATTATTTTCTCATGGACAATTGGATAATGGCATATTTGATCCAATCAAATAAGTGGATTGCCTTAATTTAGTGCTTTTCTCTTGGTCTCAGTGTTATTACTGGCTCTAGTAGCCTAACCCTCTCAACCAGTCTATCAATTTCAATGGCTTCCTTTCTATTACTGTTTGGGTCAATCTGACTTGAATTTTGTCATTTGAATTAGACATGAAAGGACAACCCACTGATCACACACTGGTTGAATCAACATTGTTTCCACATCATGCATTAACACCTGGCTTACCTGGTTAAATAAAGGTGAAATAAAAAATAAAAATAAAATAAAATCATTTCAATGACATTTTGTTGAACCAACGTGGAATATATGTTGAATTGACATCTGTGCCCAGTGGGAACTGTTAAGATTCTGCCTATACATACCTTCATCAAATATGTGTATTCAGTCTTCAGTGCCTTCTCCAGGGCAGAAACTACAACTTCAGGCTCAGGGAACTTCAGCTTGCGAGGTGGGCCTTTCTTTATTCCTGACCACAGACATTCCACTGTAGAAAAGGGAATGATTAGACAACAGATAGGACACACAGAGAGAAAGACACTTCCCATAGAGGTGTATCCCTGGAAGACAGTACTCACCTTTCTCTCCTTCAACCAGCATCACTTCAAAACTTTTACTCTGGGGGTTCAGAACCACAGTGAGGTCTGGGCGGGCAGCCAGGAGGGCAACTCTGACCCGCTCGGCATTATGTCCGTAAACTCGTCAGCTTTTACTGCAGAAAGACAATAGGACAGTGAGGTTTTACAGGTTATGCTTTTCTGCAGCAGAGATGTAGCTTATCCTTGGGTAAATGTTGTTAGATTACAATAAGCTATATGCCAATGCCACATTATGCAATTTGACGGACTTTGTCCAATTAATTAATATATGTCACCCAAATACATTGGGTCTTGTATTGGTGGGTTCAGTTCCAGTTCCCACCAGTGTTGAATGACCACTCTCTGGCCCTCTGTAACAGTCTCCGGGTTGTCCTCCTCTTTTTCACCCCTCTACCACTCCACGGCCATGGTTTCCTCCTCCGTCTCCACCTTGGCGCTCGCCTTGCGCTTCGAACCCCAACCTGTCCAACAATAGGCAGTGGGCTTAGCTAGCTGGTAGTGGCAGGTAGTCTAGTGGCGGTTAGAGCGCTGGGCCAGTAACCGACAAGGTGAAAAATCTGTCAATGTGCCCTTGAGCAAGGGGCGCCATACTACTATGGCTGACCCTGTAAAACAACACATTTCACTGCACCTATCCGGTGTATGTGACAATACAGCATTATTTTTCATTTATTTTTATAGCTAGCTAGGGGCGTTTGTGTCATCTAGCTAGCTAGCTACTGTAAAAGTTAGCAAGCTAACCTGTCCTTACATAATGTATTTCGGAGTTGTTTTGTGTCTCTACTTTAGTGTCTAGCAAGTTATCTTGTAATTCAGAGACACTTATAACTCATTTCATCAGTGCAATTTCATGAATGATCTAGATTTTAAAAGCTTTTGATGTTGTAGGGTCTACCTGCTTTTGCAAGGGACGCCATTGTTATTGTTGATTTTGCATAATGACCGAACTTTGGTGCGTTTTGTGGGCATGGGAATGGGCTATTCCATTGTGGGGTTGAAGGGGTTGTTCATTTTGGTGGCAGACAAAACCATTCCAGAAAGTGCGGTTTTGAACTTCGGCTAAGATTCATGGAGATGCTGGAAGAGAGCAGTAAAACAAGATGGCGTATTGAACACAGCGGTGCAAATCGCCTCAAGATAAAAACGTAATATTCACTATCAGTAAACTAAATATTAGCACTTCATATACTTGTGGGTAATAACGTTCAATCTGGATAATAACACAAAACAAATCATAAGGCTAGAGAAATCTATCGACAAATATTACGAAAAAAGCAACACTCAAACATGATGGAGGGTAAACGAGGAGAATCAATCTCCAAAAGAAAACGCGACTCCTCGACGGATACAAATTATTGATTATTTTCACCACTGGGACTGGTAAGTGTGGAAAGTGGTCTGTTAAAGGCGAGAAATGACAAACTGGGCATACTTTAATTAGTCAGTAAGGATATAAAGGAGTTGAAGGCGAGCCTTGTGATGAGTGACGAAAAAGCTGCGATAATGGAGAAAGAAACAAAAAAGCTAAAAGGGACAGTCACTAAGATAGAAACGGATGTTAATGAACTTAAAAAGGAGAACATCTTTCTGAGAGAAGCCTTACTAAACATACAGACTAGATCTATGAGAGAAAATCGAGTATTTACGGGTATCCAAGAAAAAGAAGTTCCCGAAATGGTCGTGAAGGAATTCTTTCTTACAGCGCTTCAAATCCCACTCGATGCTGTCGATAAAATCCAACTTGAACATGTACACCGTTTCGGACAAAGAGGATAGAGATATGAGCGTCCAATCGTTGCCAAATTTGCTTTCTTTAAGGATAAACTAATGGTTAAAAGCCTGGTTAAAAGACTTGCTGGCACAAAAATAGACATGAATGATCAGTTCCCAAGGGAGATTGCAGAACGGGGCAAAGTTCTGTACCCAATCTTCAAGGAGAATAGATTAAAAGGGAAGAGTGTAGCTCTCGTAGTCGATAAACTGTATATTGACAACCAAATGTTCTGAGACACAAAGACTACTCCATGGCTATTCTAAAAATTACAAAGCTCTCATAGAGGAGTCGAATAATGGAACACCCAATACTAGCCATGGTAGGGATTGTAATAATAAAAACAAATATAGATAGAAAGCAATAAAATAAAACAATTGTTAAATAAATATAGTACAACTACACTGGTTATAGGTAACAAGCCTACTCATAATAGATACACTACCGGTCAAATGTTTTAGAACACCTACTCATTCAAGGGTTTTTCTTTATTTGTACTATTTTCTACATTGTAGAATAATAGTGAAGACATCAAAACTATGAAATAACACATGGAATCATGTAGTAACCCAAAAAGTGTTAAACAAATGAAAATACACTTCTCAACAAAATAAAGGGAACACTAAAATAACACATCCTAGATCTGAATGAATGAAATAATCTTATTAAATACTTTTTTCTTTACATAGTTGAATGTGCTGACAACAAAATCACACACAAATTATCAATGGAAATCAAATTTATCAACCCATGGAGGTCTGGATTTGGAGTCACCCTCAAAATTAAAGTGGAAAACCACACTACAGGCTGATCCAACTTTGATGTAATGTCCTTAAAACAAGTCAAAATGAGGCTCAGTAGTGTGTGTGGCCTCCACGTGCCTGTATGACCTCCCTACAACACCTGGGCATGCTCCTGATGAGGTGGCGGATGGTCTCCTGAGGACCTGGACTAAAGCATCCGCCAACTCCTGGACAGTCTGTGGTGCAACGTGGCGTTGGTGGATGGAGCGAGACATGATGACCCAGATGTGCGCAATTGGATTCAGGTCTGGGGAACAGGCGGGCCAGTCCATAGCATCAATGCCTTCCTCTTGCAGGAACTGCTGACACACTCCAGCCACATGAGGTCTAGCATTGTCTTGCATTAGGAGGAACCCAGGGCCAACCGCACCAGCATATGGTCTCACAAGGGGTCTGAGGATCTCATCTCGGTACCTAATGGCAGTCAGGCTACCTCTGGCGAGCACATGGAGGGCTGTGCGGCCCCCCAAAGAAATGCCACCCCACACCATGACTGACCCACCGCCAAACCGGTCATGCTGGAGGATGTTGCAGGCAGCAGAATGTTCTCCACGGCGTCTCCAGACTCTGTCACGTCTGTCACATGTGCTCAGTGTGAACCTGCTTTCATCTGTGAAGAGCACAGGGCGCCAGTGGCGAATTTGCCAATCTTGGTGTTCTCTGGCAAATGCCAAACGTCCTGCACGGTGTTGGGCTGTAAGCACAACCCCCACCTGTGGACGTCGGGCCCTCATACCACCCTCATGGAGTCTGTTTCTGACCGTTTGAGCAGACACATGCACATTTGTGGCCTGCTGGAGGTCATTTTGCAGGGCTCTGGCAGTGCTCCTCCTGCTCCTCCTTGCACAAAGGCGGAGGTAGCAGTCCTGCTGCTGGGTTGTTGCCCTCCTACAGCCTCCTCCACGTCTCCTGATGTACTGGCCTGTCTCCTGGTAGTGCCTCCATGCTCTGGACACTACGCTGACAGACACAGCAAACCTTCTTGCCACAGCTCGCATTGATGTGCCATCCTGGATGAGCTGCACTACCTGAGCCACTTGTGTGGGTTGTAGACTCCGTCTCATGCTACCACTAGAGTGAAAGCACCACCAGCATTCAAAAGTGACCAAAACATCAGCCAGGAAGCATAGGAACTGAGAAGTGGTTTGTGGTCACCACCTGCAAAACCAGTCCTTTATTGGGGGGGTGTCTTGCCAATTGCCTATAATTTCCACCTGTTGTCTATACCATTTGCACAACAGCATGTGAAATTTATTGTCAATCAGTGTTGCTTCCTAAGTGGACAGTTTGATTTCACAGAAGTGTGATTGACTTGGAGTTACATTGTGTTGTTTAAGTGTTCCCTTTATTTTTTTGAGCAGTGTATATTTTATATTTGAGATTCTTCAAATAGCCACCCTTTGCCTTGATGACAGCTTTGCACACTCTTGGCATTCTCTCAACCAGCTTCACCTGGAATGCTTTTCCAACAGTCTTGAAGGAGTTCCCAAATATGCTGAGCACTTGTTAGCTGCTTTTCCTTTACTCTGCCGTCCGACTCATCCCAAACCATCTCAATTGGGTTGAGGTCGGGGGATTGTGGAGGCCAGGTCATCTGATGCAGCACTCCATCACTCCCCTTCTTGATAAAATTGCCCTTACACAGCCTGGAGGTGGGTTGGGTCATTGTCCTGTTGAAAAACTAATGATGGGATGGCGTATTGCTGCAGAATTCTGTGTTAGCCATGCTGGTTAACAATGCCTTGAATTCTAAATAAATCACAGACACTGTCACCAGCAAAGCACCCTGCACCATCACACCTCCTCCTCCATGCTTCACGGTGGGAACCAAACATGCGGAGATCATCTGTTCACCTACTCTGCATCTCACAAAGACACAGCGGTTGGAACAAAAAATCTCAAATTTGGACTCATCAGACCAAAGGACAGATTTCCACCAGTCTAATGTCCATTGCTCATGTTTCTCGGCCCAAGCAAGCCTCTTCTTATTATTGGTGTCCTTTAGTAGTGGTTTCTTTGCAGTAATTCGACCATGAAGGCCTGATTCACACAATCTCCTCTGAATAGTTGATGTTGAGATGTGTCTGCTACTTGAACTCTGTGAAGCATTTATTTGGGCTGCAATTTCTGAGGCTGGTAACTCTAATGAACTTATCCTCTGCAGCAGAGGTAACTCTGGGTCTTCCATTCCTGTGGCGGTCCTCATGAGAGCCAGTTTCATCATCGTGCTTGATGGTTTTTGCGACTGCACTTGAAGAAACTTTCAAATTTCTTGAAATGTTCCATATTGACTGACCCTCATGTCTTAAAGTAATGATGGACTGTCGTTTCTCTTTGCTTATTTGAGCTGTTCTTGCCATAATATGGACTTGGTCTTTTACCAAATAGGGCTATCTTCTGTATACCTTGTCACAACACAACAGATTGGCTCAAAAGCATTAAAAAGGAAAGAAGTTCCACAAATTATATTTTAAGAAGGCACACCTGTTAATTGAAATGCATTCCAGGTGTCTACCTCATGAAGCTGGTTGAGAGAAGG